AATTTATTTGTGTTAAGCACAAAACTACAAAATGGACTATCTGCACTGTGCCTACTTCGGATTTCTAACACAGATTTTTTAGTCGTCAAGTTTATTGCTCAGTCATCGTAAGTCATTAAAATTAAGCATACAAACCTTAACATGATCAACAATATGTTATTTTAATGATAGTCAGAAGAACATGTTTACCAGCCGTATAAATTGCTTTAAAGAAGATTTAATCACGTCAAGCCAATTAATTATTTTTCGTAGGAAACGTTTTAGGTAACACAGGCCTGCGATGGTTTTATTGTCTTGAAATTTGTACATGCTCTGCAGTAATTCCTGTACGTTGAATCCAAAAATGATATCCATTTTTCTCCATCACATACAAATTTTTCACAAAACGTCATAACGCAATACATAAAAGAAAGACCACAACACGTAAATTTTACAAAAAAAAAAAAAATCAGGATGAATGAGGATGTATATTCGTCTGACATCAATGTTCTTCCCTTTTCTTCAGATTGTTTGTATTTTTGTTAATAAACATAATAATAAAAAATGTTCATTGTGGTAAACGAAATAATGATTTTATCTAAATAAGAGTTCTTTTTCTTCCCGATTTGTAAAAAATCCTTACGTGATATAAAAAAGATGAACATTATTTTCGAAATCTGCTTAGCTGAATTATGGAAAAACCGTTATTAAAACCAAAAAAATACTTTTATGGAGTATAAAATCGCAGTCCTATGTAATCCAGAGCCTTTTTTGTAGCAAACCGAAATATGTAAGGTAAAAACACCTGAATAACCTGAGAATTTCTAGCATCGGATAAGTTCTTTAAAATGTGTAACCTACCTTTTAGAAGGAGTTGATGATGAGAAAAACACGGATCAAGTCTTAAAAGTTAGAACTTTAACATCGAAACCATAAACTATATATATTCGTAATATAATTCTTGTGTTACTCACGAGATGGCATTATTATGGAGGGAGATGGCCGTATTCATGTTCTCGGTAATAATGTTTTAAATTCTTTATATACTTCCAGTTACTGTATCATTTTATTTTACTAATTTTTAGGACGATAAATTGATTTTATCTGCTGTGTTATATATCACATTTATAAATTTTACGAACATATGTCATTTAAATTATTTTCCCAAAATCACCATTTATAAAAAAATATTTATTGAACTGGCTTTCTTTGAGCGGTAAGTAAATGATAATTTTTTATTACAGCTGTAAGAAGAAAACATCGTAAATGAGTGACCATAATTCTCAATTTCTTCAACAATAGTTGAGCTATGAAAACTTGAATCTACTTATTTATCCTGATAATGTTTAATTTAATATATACCATATTGCACACCTCGTGAGCAAAATCCAGGGGACGCTTCTCATTCAGGGACTGATTTGCATTAAAGGAACAGCTTGGAGTATATCACACGCTGAATACAGGCTAAACAATTAAAATTTAAAATTAATTTCTAATTGTTTGTTTGTTACTAACCACAAAGCTACACAAAGGGCTATCTGTGCTCTGCCCACCACGAGTATCGAAACCCGGTTTTTAGCAGTATAAATCCGCAGACATACCATTGTGCCACTGGGGGCTTAATTTCTATGAATGTGTCAAATGCACTGGTCAATTGCCCGGCGTTCCGTTGGGTCAATCCGCCCTTGTTCTCGCGTGTGGCCTTAACATTTGTTCTTTTACAACAAATTAAAAGTTTTTGATATAATTTATCAACAGATTAACGAAATTACTACTGTTTATATTTCACTACTTTATTCCCGGATTTGTGTGTCCTTTAGCCTTTGTATTATTATGAATACAACTGCAATTTAATCTACATTATAAAATTCAATATTTGTTTACATGTAGAAAATGCAGAAATCTCAAGTTCTAAAATTAAATGAATATTAATAGTACGCAACGTTTCTGTTAGACACAAAGTATCTACAAAATCAAGATTAAAGTATTTGCATGTTACAAAGTTCTTTTTGCTTCAAATTTAAAGGTGAACTTGAGAAGTTAAAGCTGGGTGAATCTCACATTCATGAGGCGAACTTGAGTTGTTTGAGGTAATGGTACATAATAACAAAACACAACATAGTAATGAAACAGTTTATAGTCAAAAGAGAAAATACGAAAGATGACTTTTTGGGTTAGCTACATATCAAACTTGTTTCTTAATTTCACATTATCCAGATCTATAATTCTTTAGTGTTGTATTTAAAAAAAAAAACTATTTCTAATATTAACTTTACGCATTACTGTCCAACACAGAGTTTTGAAAAGTTTTTTACTTAATTTTTATTAACGAATATAACTTTAAGAATTTTCATGAGGTTAAGCACATATGCACCACGTATATAACAAGTTAGTAAAAATAAGATTATGTTTCTGTGACAGGTGGAATCTCTAGGGTTGACGAAGAAAACACTCATTATTCAAACTGCGCTCTGTTGTTCTTTTAAGATCCTGACAGATAAATTACACCAACGGTATAAAGTAAAAACTATATTAATCTAAAATAAAAACAAAGTACTCGACTGAGTTTGGCCTTAAAGATTCACGTCAAATGATTTATAGAATATTTTTATGTAACATTTGTGTTGGAATATAGTCTATTTCATATCCCACGTCGTAACATTTTGTTGAGCACAAAACTACACAATGAGCTATCTGCGTTTTTCTCACCACAGGAATCTAAACCAGATTTTTAGCGTCTTTAGCTCTCAGACTAATCGCTAAGCCACCGTGTGACACGACACGTGGTTAAATCATCACACCTAATCGTAGTGTCAATAAGTGTAGCAGGAGAATTTAATCATTTTGACTTTATGTGTGTTTTAAATAGAGGTTAACCACAATCACTTCACTGTATACCTTTTTTAGAAATGTAATGGGATAAATAATTTAAATGTAGTGTGCCCTATTACAAGTAATAACTCCAATTGTCAACTGGCAGTAACGAGATACACTATCGGTTGTATTATATGTAGCTTCCGAAGTTTTTATAATAACTATTGCATGAAAATACGAATGTTAACTGTATACGGATGTATTGTTTGTTATATTTTGGCGTTTAAAAGGTATTTTGTAAATATATTTCAACTGTATTGCTGAAATAAGCACAATGGACTAAACAGAGTTCAGTCATCAAGGATTTTGTATAATTGCGTCATGTTGATGTAAACTTTTTCTTATGAAGAATTCATCTTGTAGTCTAGCATTAAAGGCTTACATCATTTTCTTGCTTGTGATTTATTATATAATTATCACAAACGTGGATGAAAGTACATTTAACAAAGTCAAACATAAATTATCTTATTCTTAATAAATCTGTCTGAAGTTGGTACCAACAAGAATATGCTTTCAATTACTTTGTTTACTGCTCACTAGTCCGTCTAGCTCAATTACTAAACTTGTTTTATTGCTCACTAGTCCATCTAGATCAATTACTAAGCTTGTTTTTATTGCTCACTAGTCCATCTAGCTCAATTACTAAACTTGTTTTATTGCTCACTAGTCCATCTAGATCAATTACTAAACTTGTTTTATTGCTCACTAGTCCATCAACATCAATTACTAAACTTACTTTTATTGCTCATAGTCCATCTAGCTCAATTACTAAGCTTGTTTTTATTGCTCACTAGTCCATCTAGCTCAATTACTAAACTTGTTTTTATTGCTCACTAGTCCATCTAGATCAATTACTAAACTTGTTTTTATTGCTCACTAGTCCATCTACATCAATTACTTGTTTTACTACTCACTAGTCCATCTAGCTCAATAACTTCACTTGTTTTTACTGCTCACTAGTCCATCTAGCTCAATCACTTCACTTGTTTTTACTGCTCACTAGTCCATCTAGCTCAATCACTTCACTTGTTTTGACTGCTCACTAGTCCATCTAGCTCAATCACTTCATTTGTTTTTACTCCTCACTAGTCCATCTAGCTCAATCACTTCATTTGTTTTTACTCCTCACTAGTCCATCTAGCTCAATCACTCCATTTGTCTTTACTGCTCACTAGTCCATCTAGCTAGATTACTTCACTTGTTTTTACTGCTCACTACTGGCTCAATTATTTCATTTGTTTTTACTCTTCACTGGTCCATCTAGCTCAATTACTTCACTTGTTTTTACTCCTCACTAGTCCATCTAGCTCAATTACTTCACTTGTTTTTACTTCTTGCTAGTCCAGCTAGCTCTCTAGACAAGTTCATTTATTTAGGCAAGATAGAATAACTAAGCCTATCAAACATAAACCTTGCTTTTTCAGGTCAATTCTCAACCCACATTATTCAATCCAGTACCTTGTCCAATTTTTCACACATGCTTCATAATGCCAATACCTTGTATCAACTATCCTACAATCTATTTTAGCTTGAAATTTTGGCAACATTCTCAGTGACCAGTTGAGTTCCCTGAATGAAAATGAGATGCATAAAAGCCAAGATTTTATTCCCCTCACTAGAAAAAAATCAAATCCATAATGAGTGTTGAAAAACTATGCATGAGTAGAGGGAGGTACACTTCTCATACTTCCTAGGACTACATTACACTCTCCAGTTGGGTATGTAGCAACATAAAGAGGCCTCTCAACAGCAGTCATTTACAGAAGTCATACTATTGTGATAACCAACACTGATGAAATTAATGAAGTACATTTACCCCGAAATATACATATATACAGTATATAGTGGTATTTTTAAAAGAAGCACGTAATTTGTGGAAACTTGTCAAATTATGTAAACCAATATGTACATAAAAGATCTTAACCTGGTGATGTATTTTTTTTTTTTACAACAAAATATTTCATTTGTGCTGTAATAAATACTAACTCCAGCAACTTTGTTAAAAATAACTTCTAAATTTATTTAAATTTGTTACATAATAATATCACAATACAGTAGTTTACATAATATTCTTTATAAGCTTGCTGTCAAAAGCAACAAAATTATATACAAAACAAGGTAAAAGATGTTATTTTTTGAAAGCCACAACCCTAAAAATCTTGCATTTCTCTGCAAAATTAGTTGAAAACATATGCAAAATGTCAACAATGGACCTCTTTCACTCTCTTGTAGTTCCCATCACTATAAAGAAAATTAAAACTAAATACTCTAGTATTTCAAAATTGCAGACATTCTGAAAATGTTCAAACCTTCAGCAGTAAAACCTGGTCAACAGGACAACTATAGAACATCCTTTGACAATTTTACATTAGTGACTTGCATAATTCTCATACCTTACAAGGTGTCACTATTCAGTTTACTAAAAGAATATTCCACATCTCAAATTAACAAAATTGGTTCAATAGCAAATGCAGGTTTCAATGAAAATATGTATATTTTTTCTCTATGTGTATATAATTGGAATGCTTTATACACAATTATCAAGTACTACTAGATTACAAAAAAAAGTGGAACTTCCTCTGAACTACCGTAAGATAGGACATTGGCACATCTGAATAAGTGGTTATCAAATTTAAGATTGACATCAAAAATTCAATACAATGACCCTGGCAAAACTGAAAGGATGGATAATATTTTTGTTTTGTATTTTGAGTCCTTAATAGTTAATGATTTGACTTAAATTTTTATCATAAAACTTTTAATTAAAAAACAACAGACAAAAACTTAACACTAAATAGAGTAGCAGGTTGGACATTATTAATCTGAATTTTGAATAACTAAAACCTTCCAAGCCAACCAAAACTTAACACCATATACACTGTTACAAGATCTTTCACTTTTTCAAGTTGAAACATTCCAAGTTTACAGTCACTTCTCACCAACCCAACAAAGAAACTGTGCACCATAAAACACGTGCACAAATATTTTTAATGTTAAATTTTAGTTTCTAATCTGATTTAGTTAAAATCTACAAGTACATTTTCTACCAATCTACTTCAAGTTGGATTATTAGAAATAAAACTATACTAATCATCTAAAAAATATGTTGTACATCAAAGCTGCTAAATTGGAATATTTATTAATAATGAGAACAATGTTTGTGCAATGAAGAGTATCAGGAAATTGAGTCAACATCTCTTACATGTAATCATGTAGTTTTAATGCTGAGTTGGTAAAATAAGTATCTGAAATAATATTTAATGTGTTCTACTTATATGGGTTTTATTAGTAGCATGGTTTACATGAACTTGAAAACAAAACCAGATGGTTAATATGTTGGTCTAAAAAAAATGTTGAGTATTGTATAGTAATAAAATAATTAGTTTTCTTTCCTTGTTGTGTAAATTAATCTAATAAAATATTTACACTAACTTGTTATACATAATTATCTTAGTCACCACGGCAGCTCAAGCTCTTTAGCACTTGCATATTCAAATATTCTTTTTTTTTTCTAATTAACCTCATTTCTTTAAAATATGTATTGCATAAACATTTCCTTTAATACTAGGAAAAACTACATGCAGCTTTTTTTCAGAAAAACAAACAAACAATGATATGAGTATGTTTGAGTAGTATAATTTTTTTTTAATAAAGACACAATATCAATTTCCATGTACTATCCATGGACTGAACTAAGTTTCAAAATTTTCATGTTTAACAAGATTTTCTATGTAAAATCTGAACTTGTATTCTTTTAAGATAAAATGCTTCAATTAAAGTACTGATATGCACTACACATTACAACCTATCCTCTTTAACTAACAGGAATTTTAGTTTTTCTATCTTAAAGCAATTGCTTCTAGTATACAATTTCATTAACAGTAATGCACCACAAAGATAATGTGAAAAGGAGAATAACATAAATGGATACACATTAACAACTGAGCAAAATGAAAGATCTGTTGTCACCTACATGACTTTTGTTAATTGTTTATCCAAATTTTAGATAAGCAAACCAACAACAGACTGGTTATAATAAGCATGAATGCAGTAAAATATAGTACAGCCATTTGCATAGTTTGAAAGATTTTTTTTTTCTTTTACAATTCATCCATGGTATGGGAAAGACTAATAAAACAGAAGTATGAGAGTTGATTGTGATGTTATCCACAAATTTATCATTATGATATTATTAACTCCACTGTCATTATCTATCACAATTTTTAACACTTCATTAACTGACAAATTTTCCTGTTGGCACCACAAAGTCTTGAAACAAGCCAATAATGTTGCCACTTTTCACACAAATTATCAAATGCCAATAAAAACAAATTAATTAATTAATTAACTTCTGGATTTTCTCTCACTTCTTTGTCTTGTGTCACCATTAAAGGATCTTGACTACTATTACTACTATCACTCTGCTCCTGATATCCAGCCTCAAGCTCAGGGCATAAAAATAGCTCATCCTCACTCTTAAAACCCCAAATGCTGGGGCTTGGAAGATCTGGGGATGAAGTGCTACAGCTTTGTCCTAAAGGTTGTGTAGAACTTTGTATAGGAATAAACAAAGAGCAGTCTGCTCTATTTGAGCTTGCTGAGTGACTAGCAGACCTAACTTCTCTTCGTTCTGGTGAACATGACTGATTTGGAGCAGGATGTTGATGAACAGGAACATGAATAATTCCTAAATCTTCTCCATGGTGCATGTTGGGGAAGTCCATGTCATCATTATTAAGCACACTTTCTTGACTATCTGTGATCTTTTGGAACAATATCATTAAATGACTTTTTATTTGCTCTAGTAAATAATAATTCAATGTTTATGATCAACATATTGGCAAAAAATTTAACACTTCAACTTAACAATGTACAAGGTATTCTTTTCAAATTCTTGAAAAAATTAAACTACTAAAAGTGACCACTAAGTTAACACTACTAATTATCTGTCATGTTCTCTGGAGGCTACAAAAATATTTTCAATACAAAAAGAAATTTAGATTTAGCAATTATCAGTATAAACACAGTTTTATGCATTTAGGTACAATTGAACAGTTTCCAAACTATTTTACCTCTACCCATCATTTGTAAAAATATTACTTCAGGATATTTTATAAACATACAGCGCACACACACACACACACACACACAAAAAGAAACAAGGGTTGAAAGTTATATTTTGGTTCTATAGAATAGTTTTAATAAAACAAAAGTAGTTAAAACAATGTTTTCAAATCGGCCCTCAACATAAGTTACAAAACTATGTTATATTTACTTGTAGCAGTAAACTTTTTAAAAACTTTTTTTTGCAAAAATGCAATCATACAGTATGTAGTTTGAAGAGCTGCAACATCTAACAATTATAGTTTCCCACAATCTACATGTTATTATTACTTTTTTTTTCACAAGTGTTATAATATTATTATTACCAGTGTTCTATCATATTCTAAGTGCTAAGGGTTTGTGTAGTATAGTATTAATGTGTTATTATTTCAAGTGTTACAGTATTATTGCTGGTTTCCAAGAGCTAGAGTAATGTTAATGGTTTTCCAAGAGTACTAAAGTAGTGTTACGTGTAAAGATTTCCAAGAACTAGAGCAATATTAATGGTTTTCCAAGGGTACTAAAGTAGTGTTACGTGTAAATATTTCCAAGAACTAGAGCAATATTAATGGTTTTCCAAGGGTACTAAAGTAGTGTTACATGTAAAGATTTCCAAGAACTAGAGCAATATTAATGGTTTTCCAAGGGCTACAGTAGTATTAACACAGGATCTCTCCTTCACCAAAAGCAAAGTAGTGTTTTTGGGTGGCAGTGCAAAGAACAATATAATTTGGTAACTGTTTCTTTAAGGTGTTGTATACACTGCTTGAATTTCCAGTATCTGCTGTATCCAAATATATAATCCCTACAATGGTTATTTATTTCAGTCAGGAGTTAAGAACAGTCAGGGAGACAGGGTTTTGAAGTAACCACATTACATCCAAATACATAATCCCTACAATGGTTATTTATTTCAGTCAGGAGTTAAGAACATAAAAGCCTGTCAAGAAGGGAGTTCCCAGGACCAGATCAGGTATGCCGTTATGTGTGCCATACCTCATCATTCACATCATTATGATGCCAAGCCAGGTAGGATCTGAATAGGAAAATCTGGGAGACTCCTGTGAAAAATAAATAAAAAATTAGCACAAATGTATGCTTGGGAATTATTATGAAAAAGCCTTTGTTAAAACAGACTGAAAATACCAATTATCTGTAAGGATGACTTTTACTCAGAAGAAAAACAGGTGTGTATGCAATCACAAGGTCATTATACCAATTATACCATTATGTCAACATGTAGCATGTTTGCTCAGTTATATGTAGTTGATTCAGGAGCAATATGTAGTATGTTCCTAGGAAAGGAAATTTTATATTTCTTTTTTGTATTGCCAGATTTATATAGAATAGTTTTGGTTTCCAGCAATTTTGCATAATTTCTAATGGGGGTTTATGCTAGTATAGCTAATAAAAAGGAAAATAAAGGTCTCATAGATTAATTTACTCTATCATGCCTGAAAGAATTTCAAGTGCCATCGCTATTGAGAATTCCCTCTTGTTTGATCCTCAAATCAAACTATGATCTTCTGATCCAGCAGAAGGCTACTAACTACTATCACAACTATCCTTGTCAGCATCAAACCTATTTTTGAGTGCTGCCCCAGAATCTTTGAGCTTGAAAGATGGATCTCCTTAAACAAGGGTTGTCAAAAAGTCCATCATGATCACATCCACAACAGCTGCATAAGTTAGAAGTTAAACATCTTGGAGCTTGCACATTCAGGCAACCAAGGAAACAATGGTGATTGATGATAAAATGATGAAGAGGAGCAAAGTTCCAGTCATGGTCAGAAGGACTTGGAACTACCTGCTGAAAACCCATTGAGCTTTTGCCTGAAAAACAAATGGAATGATGGGCAAAGTAGAAGGCTCATGTAGTGGACACATTGGTTACACAACAAGAAGTACTGTCATTAACTATGGGGTTTCTGGTGATGATGTGACCAGGCATAACTTGGCCATTTTTTGTCCATTTAAGAAACTGTAAATGTAATTATCATATTCCATTTTAAACTAAACCTGTATAAGTTTCCCTAAAATTGGATAAATCCCAGACAATTTGTTTCTGATCCCTGCAAACTAGGCACCTCTGGTTGAGGGAGAGATACTATGTTAACATTTTTTCTAAAAATTAGTTTTCCAATACTTGCATTAATATTTATATTTTTTGAAATACACAATCTTATCAAATGTTTTGTCAACTATTAAAACTTACCACAAGCCCATAGTACTTCAGAATATCCATCTTGCACATTGGGCAAGATCTCTGATCAAGAAGCCAAGGATCCACACATGACTTGTGAAATGTATGCCTATATAAAAAAAAAAAATCTTATATAAAAAAAAAAAAGACTTAAACATCCCCAAATACATTTATAAACATGATTCCCACACCTTGGGCAGAATGAAATACCCTGACCTTCCCCAGACCATTTGGTCTATGCTTGTAATGTATCAATGAAGTATGACAATATGATAAATTGCAAAAAAAATCACATATTGTTTATATGCCATCTTGCAAAGTTTCAATATGATCAGTTCTTGCATTGTTGATACTTTTTCAGAAAACACACAATAAAGGCAGTATATTTATTTGTTTATGATAATACAAATCACACTTCTTAACGGAAATCACAAAAATATTATTTCAGCATAAACATTAAAGATATTACGTTTGTGATTATTACATTTTAACTTTTAATACATGGAAAAAATCTGTTTATTGTTGTAAAATAGAGCATTCTTTAACAAATATGCTTCTCATGTGTCGTATTTATTAAAGCAATATTATTTGATGTGCATACATGCACAAAACTTTCAGTTACTAACCATACATTGCAGTAAACTCATATTTCTGATATCTATAAAATAACTGCACATGTTAATGAAACCATCCACTAATCCAAAGCAGACAATTATTTTTGGATGTATTTAAAATTGTGTGTATCAAGTTCATCTCTATCAAAAATATTGAAAAATTTAATTAATGTAACCACATATTTATCAAACGATCATGTTAAATAAAATATTTTCCTGGTTTACGCAAATTTAGTTTGTTCATAAGGCTGCCAAATTATACTAACAAATAACTAAGTGGTATTATTAGTTACTGTCAATAAAATGTTCTGTATTTCAGTTGTTTTTTTCATTCAATTTTTTTCCAAAACTTGTTATCTCCAGATTACTCATATTATACCTTGCCATTCACATTTTACTTTACATAAGTTTATCCTTAACTGCCATTGGAGATATTTTACCTGTCTCTCAAATATTGCCTGTCACCAAACCCAGCTCAATCTGTACTATGCATCATGCTGTTGCGTGCTGTAAGTAACGCTTAATAATGTATGTTGTTTCATAACAAATTAAAGCAAAATTACTAATAAATTATTATATATTATTATTATATTTATTTTTGATAATCAAATGAATAAATATAAGTACAGATATGACCTAAAAATAACTCACTAATACTGTGTAGATTTGTTCTGTCTTTGAATTGCCAAGCTTTACTGAAACAATGAAATTGTTCATTTTCATTTTGAAATATTTCCTATACAAATATGTCAATGATACAATATACTCAGGGTATTATGTGTTCCTTCTATGACTACTGAAATGGAGACTGTTTTATTAATGCACTAAAATGTTTAATATCAAAATAACATTCAATGGAAACAACCTATCTCTAAATAGTAATTTGTTAATGGCTTTTATGCCATTGTAAAATAATCCTCTGTGATCTAGTTTTAGAAAGCTGAGATGAAGCCCTTACACTAATGCACTAAAATGTTTAATATCAAAATAACATTCAATGGAAACAGCCTATCTCTAAATAGTAATTTGTTACGGGCTTTTATGCTGTAGTAAAATGATCCTCTGTGATCTAGTTTTAGGAAGACGAGATGAAGCCTTGTCCAAAACCCTTACACTCCACCTAGGTAGAAATCTAGCTACTGTTTACGTAATCTATTAAGGCAGCCTTTATACTGCACAAGAGTTAACAGTAAAATGATAAAACAATGTTTATGCATAAAATACAAATACTGATGTGCTAAATGCACCAGAATTAACTTGTTTACAATTGCTGGCATCAATAAAAATAATTAATTTTTTTGCCATCTATATCCTAGAAACATCACTGAATTACATGAAGTTCAGAATTTTATCAATCTTTGTCTATAAGATGAACTTCCCTGATGTTTCCTGGACCAGGAATGCAAAATATAAAATTCACTGATGTCTCCTGGTTTCTCTGACCAATGGGAACCATGTTTAAGAAAAAAAAGAAATATTTAGAAAATTTTTTCTATATAATTGATCATGTACCCAAAATAGTGAGTAGGTTTCCAATTAGCAAGCCAACAACTCAAACTGCTATCTGAGGTATATACCACATATTTACTTACTTGCAGGGAAGAGTTCTCACAACTTCTCCTAATTTAAACATCTCAATACAAACAGCACAGCACTCAAACTCTCCTTCAGCTTCCTAAAAATATATTTAGGACTAGTTAGCAACACTGTCAAAGGAGAGATTTTAAAATGGGTGAACAAGATCTTCAATACAATACTTGCATTCAGGATGTCAGAAATATTTATACTTATACTGAAGAGTCAGGAAATGAAAATAATTTATATATTCTGAATAAACATAGTCTTACTTCTAAATACTGCTATAAAGAATAGCCAGGCAAAGTTACAAAATAATTAATCATGCCTGTAAAGAAAGGCTGTGTGTAACTGTAGAATAGCTGCATTAGATTACACTAAGGTAGCAGTCCAGTTACAACCCTGAAGCATTAGCATTCTTGGAAATATGGTGGAGTGGTTTCTTCTGAATGTTCTTTCAGATAATATTTAACACGTTCGCTGCCGCATAATACATTTAGTGTTAAAAAATTGAACATTCAAGAGATGCCAAGGAGTAGTCATAGTGTACCAAACTCATATGTGAAAACTCAAGTGAAATTTGGCTATGAAAGATAATTGTCTGTGACCCACCAGTGCATCATGAGATTCATAACTAAAAGTCAGTTGCAACCCACCAGTGGGGCATATAGCAGTGAACGTGTTAAGGTACAAAATGTCTCAGATAATTTAGCTTCGAACTTAGCAATGTACAAGTTATCACAAAGAATTTATCAAGCCAATTACTGAATCTTAAGGTTGTTCAATTCATCTGCACCTTTGAAAGTAGTATATTCTCTAGTAATACATTGAAAAACTGTCACCTCAATCTTTTTAATCTGTTTCCCAAACTTCGAAAAGTTATATCAAATTAGTTTTACATGATGCAGAGACGAAATTAATTTTAAAAATTTGCTGATACTAATAACCCTGCTAGAAATGGTATATAAAATTTGATATTATGAATACTTTACATTATACAGACAGCTTAAAAAATGCTTTTCCCAACAAAAAAAAGGTGTAGGTTCAAAACATGATCATCTGTCTACCATTACAGTGATATATAAAATCAAATTAGCTTTGCAATTAGAAAATAGTAAAAAATATGTTAAATAATGAATATATGAAGAAACTTCAATCTTTTCTTCACTCAAGGTTTCTAGCTCGGTGAATTGTTTTCATTACCTTCATATAAAATTATGCAATTGTATGTTGTTCTGTGCAACACTTAGATCATTCAAAATCTCCTCAATAAAGGGGACCATTATACAAAGATCTTAAGTATCACATATTGATATTCACCTATGTACAGTCCTTGCCATCAATATATCATCATGAATATTAATGATATTTACCTATGTACAGTCCTTGCCATCAATATATCATCATGAATATTAATGATATTTACCTATGTACAGTATAAACCTAGAGTTTTTGCCATCAATATACCATTATGAATATTAATCAACTGTTCTATATAGTAAAACATATTTTTCAGTTGAAAAAATAAAAAATTACAATACATAGCCAAAATTATGTTACTATTATTTCATAATTTTCATTTAATATTTTTTATATACTCTTGAGAAGAACAGTGCATAGTATCTCACTGTTTGAAACTTACTCGATCACTTAATTTCAAAGTCTTTACAGGTATTTTGTCTAGAGCCTTCTTGGCTGCGATGTAGAGCCGCCTCTGCAATACAAAAACAGAAATATGATTTTAATTTTGTGAGTTAAGATTGGAAGAATATATATATATATATATATACACACACACACACACACACACACACATTTTGTGCAACCAATATTGTTTACAAACCTGTATATGTATACTCAATTAACATAAAACATACTTCATTCATACAAGATCATAACTATAAAAACGTACACTACAACCACTCTACAAGACAAAAAACATCACATTTTTCTCTAAGGCATTTACAAATAAATGAAGAACTTTAGTAATGAGTTAATTAGGAATTTAAAAAAGAAACTAAAATTCCCAATATTCCTATGATTCCCAATACTTTTACAAGACTGATTATATTCTTTCAGATACTTCTATTTCAAAAATAAGAAAATATTCCAACTTTATTAAAATACTACACTGATAAGTATTGTTACGACAGTGGAAGTCACGTGACGCTGCTAGCTTGCATGCAATTTCTCGGGTGATCATGAATGATTGGGGAGGCCCAAGTGTATTCAAAACACCCCCTTCTTTAGTATATAAGCCTGGCAGAGTAAGCCAGCGAGCAGATAGATATTTGAGTCAAGTGAACAGTAGGCACTGTAAGTAAAGTGTGTGAATCACTGATTTATAGCATGTGTTATAAAAGTTGTTAAGTTTAGAGTGACAAGGTATGTACTCACTGTGAAATTACTGTGTATTAAAAGGTTGTATCAAGGAAGAATAAACTGGGTTAATCAAGAAAGTACTTGTATCTCTGAAGTTTCTCAGAAAGAATTTATACCAGAAATTAACAAACAAGCAGATACACAACAAACTGGTGTCAGAGAGTGGGACGAAAAAAAGAGAGAGAGAGAAGAAGATAGAAACAAGAAGTGGCAAATCAAACTACAGCTTAGCAGATTTGATGGCAGCAATACAAGAACAGCAAAAGAAACAAGAAGTACAAAAAAAGAAACAAGAAGAGAGACAACAGCAGTGGCAGCTCAAACAAAATAAACAAGAGAAATTACAGCAGTTGTTGGAGGAAAAAGAAAAGGAACAAGAAGAGAGACTACACCAGAGGTTGGAGGAACAAGAAAATGAACAAGAAGAGAGACTACACCAGAGGTTGGAGGAAAAAGAAAATGAACAAGAAGAGAGACTACAGCAGTGGCAAGAAAACCACCACTAGTGGCAACTGGAACAAGAAAAGAAATAGGAAGAAAGACTCCAGCAATTGAGAGAAAGCCAGCACACACAAATGGAAAAGATGAGTAAATTTCAAAGTGAATTAAATACATTAAAGGATTATTTACTGTCTTTTACACAAGGAGGATATATTTGCCATCGACCTGATCAGCCCCAGACAACGGGAAGCCCCTTCTAGACCCCGCAGCTAAACCCTAATGCAGACATCTTCAGTCCTGTCAGAAGTCACATCCCAGACATGAATGTCAGCAATAGGGGTGATCTAGTATGAAAGAAGCCACAGGAATTCCATGGGAAGGCATCATGGGAAGCATATAAAACACAACTTGAGCTCCTGGCAGAAATGAATGGATGGACAGAGGAGCAGAAAGCAGTGTACCTGGCAACGAGCTTGAAGGGACAACCACTGGAAATACTTGGACAGTTGTCAGCAGATGACAGGCACAACTATAGAGTACTGGTAGCTGCTCTAGAACTCAGGTATGGAATCAAAATCAGTCCGAAGTCTATAGGGCTAGGTTTAGGATGAGAGTCTGTGCTAAAGGGGAGAGCCTGCAAGAGCTGGCACAGGATTTGGAAAGTATGGCACACAAAGCCTACCGAACTGTGCCACCCGATGTCCTCAAGCTGTTGCTGAGGGATCAGTTTATAGACGCATTGGACAGTCTACAACTGAAGATACAAGTAAAGCAAGCACACCCCTCTATTATACAAGATGCAATGGCCAGAGCTCTTGAATTCGAATCCCTACGTTAAGTCCATCACAGAGGTACCAAGGTTGGTACAGTCATCATGATTCAAGGCCAGAAAAGAGCAGCTTTCAGAAAAGTTTGAGGGACTTTGCTGGCACTGTAACAAACAGGGGCACAAGAGAGCTCAATGCCAGCAACTTCAACATGGCAGGAAAGGCTGCTACCAAGAAAGGTTGTTGGAACTGTGGAGAGCAAAGACATATGAAGAGACAGTGTAAGAAGAATACTACCAATATGTCATCTTCGGGAAACCAGTAGTGGTTGGTGTTGAGGGATGCCCCAATTGTGAAAGTCCCAACAGCTAAGTGTAAAATAGCAAGCACACATAGTGTCTATGTGACAGGAAAGCTGGATGGCCAAAAGTGCAACTTTGTCATAGATTCCACATCTCAGCAAACCCTTGTGAGTATCAAGGTGCTAGATCAGAAAGGAGTACCAGAAGCCATACAGAAGTTCTGTGGTGTGACAGAGCATTATGCAAGGTTGTGGGGACCAGTGTGGATAACTATTGAGCTCATGGGCATAAAGGACAGACACAAAGTATACTTGGCTGACATTGAAGACCAATGCATATTAGGTCAGAGAAGATAATTTGGGGTAGAATAAAAGAATATCCCCAAGGAAGCCCAATGCTTGTGGAAGCAGTGGAAGACCCATTCAGGCCAGCAGATGTGAAGATTGGAAGGTCACATGTGCCAGGTCATCAAGTAGTACCCATAACAGTGGCTAATTTCTCTAAATGTGAGCAGACACTTAAGGAAGGGGCATTGTTGGGTGTGTGCCAGGAGGTAGAGCCAGTCACTGTTAAGGCAAGAAATACGACCATAAAGAAAGGACATCCTCTCACGAAACATTTAACTGACCTCTATAAGAAGAGCATAGTCCATTTGTCATCATCATAGGCTCTACAGTTTAAGGAACTTTTGGCAAATTATGCAGACGTCTTTTCAAAAGGAGATCATGACCTCGGCTGCACAGACCTTGTGGAGCACAGAATAAACACAGGCAATGACCATCCAATAAAAATCCCTCTGAGGAGAATAGCTCCGGCAAAGTGACAAAAGATGGAGGGATAGTCGAGAAATCAGACAGTCCCTGGTCAGCTTCCGTCATGTTAGTCCAGAAGAAGGATGGGACCCAATGTTGCTGTGTGGACTTCAAGACTCTTAACAGTATAATTGAAAAGGACTCATACCCACTGCCAAGAATTGATGATACTCTGGGTGCCCAAGTGGAGCCAGGTGGTTTTCAACTCTGGACTTAAAGATGGGTTTCCATCAAGTGAAAATGGCTGAAGCAGATAAACCTAAGGCTGCATTTAGTTATGGCCAAGGTCTCTGGCAATACTCTGTGATGCCATTCGAGCATAGCAATGCTCCAGCAACATTTGAGAGGCTGATGGAAAGAGTACTGGAAGGCCTACAATGTAGGATAGCCCTAGTGTACCTGGATGATGTCATTGTGTTTGCAGCAACATTTGATGAGGAAGTATTCAAGCATTTGAAAGCAGCAAACCTCAAACTCCATCCCAAGAGATGCCACGTGTTCCAGAAAGAGGTGCTTTACTTGGGTCACACTGTA